TTGATTGTCCACCTGAATGATCTCAAACTTAAATTCTGAAAAATGTTTGGATATTTACAGTAAATAACAGAAGTTGTCCCAGGAGGACTAAACATCTGTACTATGAACAATCATAGTACAACACTTTATAAGTGTTTTGAAATAGTAACTCCCCTCTAAAGGAGAGGCCATGATTTTTTACATGGTAAATTAGGGTAATTCTGATTTCACCTGAAATTCATCTGCACCTTCTTCCTCTCTCAGTTCTCTCTCAGTTTAGGGCCAATCGAATATATACTATGTTCATTTGATCGAATGACAAATTACAGAGTTTTGTTTGTTGTGTTTGGACAAATGGTTCATAAATGTTTGTGATTTGTGTAAAACCTTTTTTCAGCTATTTTAAAGTATTGGTTGGTTGTATTAACTATTGTGAAAACATTTTGAGCACATTGTTTTGAGAAAATAATTTGCATGATTTGTAATTTATATGAAATGAATGAAAATGTTCAATCTGTTTAGGAAAATTACAAAGTATTCAGATCACTGTGTTAACTGTTTTGAGAACAGTGACCTGAGTTTAGAGATATGTCAAATCGATTGAGAAAAACTGTAATAGAAGACAAAAATGCGTTCTGTTATAAAGGCTAACTGTAGTGTCATATATCATATCAAACATCAAACATCACAGGTACTGATTATTAAGACAATAAAATATATATACTGAAATTCATCTGCACCTTCTTCCTCTCTCAGTTCTCTCTCAGTTTAGGGCCAATCGAATATATACTATGTTCATTTGATCGAATGACAAATTACAGAGTTTTGTTTGTTGTGTTTGGACAAATGGTTCATAAATGTTTGTGATTTGTGTAAAACCTTTTTTCAGCTATTTTAAAGTATTGGTTGGTTGTATTAACTATTGTGAAAACATTTTGAGCACATTGTTTTGAGAAAATAATTTGCATGATTTGTAATTTATATGAAATGAATGAAAATGTTCAATCTGTTTAGGAAAATTACAAAGTATTCAGATCACTGTGTTAACTGTTTTGAGAACAGTGACCTGAGTTTAGAGATATGTCAAATCGATTGAGAAAAACTGTAATAGAAGACAAAAATGCGTTGTTATAAAGGCTAAATGTAGTGTCATATATCATATCAAACATCAAACATCACAGGTACTGATTATTAAGACAATAAAATATATATTTTTTTAAATCCAAGAGTTATAAATGTGTATAAATAAAGAGAAAAAAGAACAAGAAATCGCCCATTTGTAAGGAAGAGAACAAACACTCCATGTGCTGATTCAACAGAACAAGCTCCTCCCAGCCACTGTATATACAGTACCATTATATTAAAAGCAGACTCATCAAAGACAAGCTGAAACAACTGTGCTCTCCAGTGGATTTTAACAGTTCATTCCTCTCAGTTACACGGTACAGTTATTATAATGACTCACTGGGAAAGACATTTTATCATCTTTATTACATATTTCTGGGGTGAGTAGGACCCTTTATTTGCCTTCTATTTGCCATATTATAACATGCAG